TAAAACTATCTTGGCTGCTATCTATTAAGCTCGCACTGTAGAGATGAAATTGGAAAAAGGAAATCACTTCAAGTTCCAAATTTTTAAGCAGGCCCGTTAAAAAATCCAAAACCGTGCCATAAATTCCAAAACAACCATTATCCTAAGTTTTCTGATCTCCTCTTTTTATATAAGCAAAATTCGCGCTGATGGAGCCCCTCCTAGAAAAGTTATGATTTTCGAGAAAAAATGCCAAAAAATCAGTTCCTTAAGAAAATTGATTTTTTGACACTTTTTTCAAAAAATCATAACTTTTGAAGTAACAGTTCGACCAGCGCAAATTTTGCTTAGATGGAAGGCGGGGGTCAAAAAGTCTAGAATAGTGGCTGTTTTGGATTTTATGGCACAGTTTTGGATTTTTTAACGGGCTTGCGTAAAAATTCCGGACTTGAAGTGATTTCCTTCTCCCAATTTCAACTCTGCAATCAGAGCTTACTAGATAGCAGCAGCCAAAATACTTTTAATAAGTACATGATTTGCTCTTTTCAATACGGCTTTATCTATGCAAAAACATCGTGTTAGGAAAAAGTTACGATTTTTTGAAAATGATGGGACAGAACTTTCGGACCAACCTAATATAAAGATATGGCAGTGTCTCTTTTGCAATGACTGACAAGCGTTATAATCGGCGATCAGGTCTTGGAGCTTGTAGGTAGTGTTCAGTTTGCTCAATAGTCGGACTCAAATTAACGAATCGCTCGGCGAGTACAATTCCATAACAAATAGCAGGCATTTCAGCGGCTCACCTTTCATTTTGTCTGCTTTGGCATCGACCAGCTCTCTGAACGAGAACTCTGATGGTGACCTCGGCGCCGGGTGCGCTCTCAGCTCGGCGTGTGCTCTAGATTCGCGAAAAGAAGGGTACTGCTATCCTTTTCCGGCATCAATGTCGGAACAATTTCCTCGAATCTCGACCGCCAGCTTTCGAAAGCGGACCGCTCTCCAAATTCTAGCTGAAACAAGAAGTCGTTACGAAAGCGTTGGTGAGTAGTCCGCCATCGTAGGAGAGATTGAAGGTCCACCCAATTCAGGAGCTTCTATCCAACGGATTGCTCCTTATTTGCCTTCGTTTTCTCCTGGTTCGCCTTTAGGAGTGCAGCATTTTGCTGTATCAACTGAGCAAAAATTTGCCCCACAAGTGCTCGATGCGGTCGTCATCCGTCCACGAAAAAGCTTGTTTTGACTTGTTCGAATCAGTATCTTCGTCGAATTCACGCGTGTCGTCCAATACTGTTCACCACTTTGTAGTTTTCGTCTTCACTTGTACAAACTCGTAATGCGTGGTGGTCCGGAACACTTGTGCAGCTTTATCAGTGCTGGATACGAATAAAAACTAACGATTAGAAGAGAAATAAACGATCTATGAAAGATCGCCTTATATAGCGTTCGTTTAGGTCAGAAAACATTTGCAGATTTGCGATCATAAGGCAGTAACAAAACTAACAATAACAAGCTCATTGTCACTCTTGAACATGACTAATCATGAGCGGTTGTGACTGTATGAAAAGAAATTAGCTTGGGAGCATCTAAATTGCGGGAAAAGCAAAAAGGAGTGTAATGTTAAAGTGCATAACCATTGCGTCCACTTATTTTACTAGGGATACAAAGATAGTATCGGGCAAAAAGCCGTTTGAGAATTTATGCTTATCCGGGCCTATTCGCTATGCTGAATCCGAAAGCTCACACTGGAAAACGGCGAAAAAGGACTCTAGTGCAGGAGGGAAATCAGCAGGGCCGGGGTCTTGCTCACTGTAAATTCACTCTCCTAGCTTCCGGAGCGATCTTCTCTATTCCGATTTCAAGTAAGCGTTTGCACTTTGCCGGTGGCGATGTCAGGGCGGCTAGCGGAATCGAGAAGATCGTTTCGGACGGTGGGAGCGTGAGTTCACAGTGTGGAATACCCCGCCTACCTGCTGATTTCTTTCCTGCGTTAGAGCTTTTTTTGCCGTTTTCGCGCTCTCCAATGTGGGTTTTCCGATTCAGCATAGCGAACAGGCCTAAACAAGCACAAAATCAAGATCGACTTCTTGCCCGGACACTACCTTCAACCTGGAGATCCCATGGCGACGTCGCTTGAACAAATCATGACAGTAACAATACAGTCCTCACTCATTCCCTCTGCTTATGTTCCTACTACCGGCTGCTCCTACAGCTTGGCAACCGTGGAAAATGAAACCATATCCATTTCCATGACCATTTCCATGTGTCATACAAATCAAGACTTTCTATACTTGCCACTACCTCTTTGAGACTCAGAAGAACAATTTATGATCAAAATCTCGTCTACAAGATTATGACTAAAAGAATCTATCTCACGATGCACGATTTTTTCGTATTATCCAACTTTAATGCTATAACTAGAGGACATGACTTCAGGTTTATCATAGGAAAGGTGCAAACACAGCAATTTCATGACTCTTTTCCGATACGCATAATCAACACATGGAACAAGCTTCCAGTAACGGCGATTAAAGCTTCGTCGACATTTGTGTTTAACAGAGAAGTTCAAAAAACCTTGAAATCTAAAGGATTCTTCTAACAACATTTTTTTACAGAACGGTGTAAAAAACGCTTTATTGGATCACTATTACTGATCTTCGACCAGCTATTTCAAAACGCCAAAATTACCATTCAGCACCTCTGTACCTTTTTTTTATCTTCTATGTATTCTTCTCCTCTGTGTATTTTTATTGATAGTTTATGTCTTTTTTTTTGCACAAAAAATTTTTGTTTATGGCGAATCATTTTCCTTATTGTCCTGATCCTGCCGCTTATTTGAAAAGAGATTCTTTTTTGAGGGCTAAGTCAGCTAGCTTTTGCCCGCAAGCTCGCTGGCATTTAAACAATGGGATGCACATTACTTTTCAAAAGGCAGCAAGATTTTTTATGTCGGTTGTTTGAGTCCAAACTGTACTTATGTTGTGTGATCTTTTTTTGGAATCGACTATTTACGTAAATAAATAAATAAATAAATAAATAAATATCCCTTCTGAATGGATGTCCTCCATTCTGAGAATAGGAAACTCGAGTATGTTTACACATTGTATAAACAACTTAGATCGTGTTAGCGACTGTGTCGTTGTGATATTTCTTATTTGAGATTAATCGCAATCTAGCAGGAAAGAAAATTTCAAATATAGGCTGCACCAACCAGCGTCCGTTGTGTGACGTCGTGCTTGCGGCAACTTGCGACGATGCGGGTGGTGCGAATTCGAGCAGATCTGCCACGCGTTAGAGCACCTCGCATGCGACGGTGCGATCTCGCAAGGCATACCAGCGCGGAACCGATGTTAGTTGGTACAGCTTATAAGATAAATCTTGCTTAGACTACGTATGCATAGGTCTCAATGCTCTCCGGAGAAAACAAGATCGGTCAGGGTCTACCAGTGTTGTCGGTGTTGAAAGTGTTGAAAGTGTTGCTGATGTTGAAAGTATCAAATATGGAGATCATCAGTCTTGCAGTTTCACTTTCGAGCGATCTCACCTGCTAATGGGTACGTTTGAAATGGAAATGGGAAATGAGAAATGAACTCGAAATGAAATGGAAGATGCTTTCGCATAGAAAAGATCCTCATACACATTTTTTCGAAAGTAGAGGACTTGTTTGAAACAGACAATCTCCAGATTTGAGAACGCTGCCAAAGTTTGAGTAATGGGTGTTAGGTGTCGAACCCAGCGTTTCTGCGATTATCTGTAAAAGACCTACGTATGGGAGGTTTTGCAGCGTTCTCAAATAATAAATTTGCTACTTCTAACATCCTTTACTTTTTCAATTGTACGAGGATGTTTATGCGAAAGCGTTGCGCAACTCATCTTAATTTCACTTCTTCCATTTCCGTTTGAAACGTACTCACTAGCCGGTGAGATCGCTCGAGGAAGAATGAACTGCTGGACCAATGGTTTCCACATTCAACATTTACACCGACAACACTTCCAACAGTGTAAGGCCCCGGGCAGACTTCACGCGATTTGATCGTCGCGACTGAATCGCGAGGAGACAACTGTTACAACATCATTCCATGCAGATCAACTTGCATTCGGTTGTGATACTTTTCCAGACCGAAATTTTTGAATGTGAAATGAAAATGAATGGAAATCTTGGCGATTTGGTCGCGACGATTAAGTCGCGTGAAGTCTGACCGGGGCCTAACGCTTTCAATCTGTCGATACCGGCAACAGTGACAAACCTGACCGCTTTCTAAGATGATGGGTACGAACTTATCCCAATCTATGCGAACCAGTGAGCTCGTGCTAGACCTTTGAAAGCTACACTTAGACTCCCTGCCCACAATTTTTAGCGCCTTCACTGCACGAAAAACGCCAATGTGCACAGATCAGTACGGTAGAGGAATATTTGCCCACTCTCCAGGCTTTCGATACCTCTTTCGACATGCCATCGAGCAAGTGCAGGGCCATAGCGTTTTACCAGAAGCAAGGACTACAGTCGAGTTGTTGAAAACTCACTGGGGAAACCTCCGCTTGTGCATCCCTGCTCTGCGCCAAAGTACGCATGCGCTACAGTTGAATGCGGGGGGTTTTGCAGCAACTCTGCGCTCAGCCTCAACAGCAACTGTAACACTCGTTCAAATTCAATTTGTAGGGCTCGGAAACGCCTGTTTTTGTTTTCGTTTCCGAGCTTTTTAACGTAATTATCCAGAGTTGCGGAAATTAAGTAAGCGAATCAGCTAGATATCGAGTTCTTGCCCGGACACTGCCCCTAATGCTGTGCACAGGCCCAGCCATCTTGACTAGTATACGTAGTGACGCGAGAGGCTAAATAAAGTCTTAATATATTTCGACCATGCGTATTTCAGAACTGAAGTGCAGTTCTCAGTATTAAAGGGTATTCAACCCTGAGCAATGAGGACTCAATGTGCTTGTCAAGAGCACGCATATAGCCGCAACTGACCATCAGCTGAGTCGGGTGTATGTTGATCCTGTAGATAGCAGACAGCACTGACCACTTTTACTTCTTCTTGTAGAACTCCATGAGGCAATTGAGAGAGGACGAACGCATAGATCCAGATCTGAACCATGGTTCCAAATGAAAATCACTTTCTATTCTTAAGGTTTATATATGCTTGCTATCATCATCTTAACATGTCAAACTCCTTGAACATGTCAGATAGAGACAAGATTCGCCTAGGGTGCGCCAGAAAGCTATCCAAATCAATCGTATTTAGCACAGTATAGATTAGGGCATTCATGGAATTGTGACGACATATCTACTGCGATCTTTGTGCCCGCTTAATTATCATCAAAGCATAAAAGCCTACACGCTCAAACAATAGGCGTCCCTGTGCTCAGCTCAGTTATTTCGAAGGATATCCTTGCCCTGGCCAACGTATCTGTGGACGACCTGGGCTTGTATCTTCTGCCCAAGGACCCATCACTAAGGGATCCCACGCGAATCATGTCATAAGTCGCAAGTTGTATGCGAAATACGGTAGACGGTCTGCTTTAGAGATGAATATCTCAGCTGAAAACGGTGTGCCATCGTTAGTGCTCCAAAATCAATCCAATGCACCTTGTTCCTCTGAATTTGCGAGCATTGCACTAAAATAAATATCTTGAAGCTATCATACGCATGAATATCAAAGTTCTCCGACTAGGAAGCCGAGAAACTGCGTTTGTCGAAACTGCGGCGCGGCGCCCGTGTCCCTCATCATTTTCACAATCGTATAATTATCCTATACATAACTCACGGTACTGCAAAAGAAAACAACATTGTCGCACTTTATATAATTTTGCTGCGCCACAAGATCAAATTTGAGACCAAATTTTTTCGAGGCAGGTCCTTCTTTCCAATTCACATATGCAAACATCTTTTTCAGTGACACTATTGTGCAGAAATCTCTGAAAATCAGAGAATGCCCAAGCCGCCCTTCCCTTTTGTTGAAACAAGCTGTTTTATTTTGGGGAGATTCCAGAGATTTTTGGCAGAAGTTAGTGATATCCTTCTGAGAAGGTGTACGAAAGCATTCTCATCAGAACATAGCGCCCACGGAACGTGCAACATTTCCGTGAATGTAGCGGAGTTCCAGAAATTCTGCGGAATTACCGAAATCCTGCGACATTCCGGAATTTTCGGAAATTCTGGAACTTTGCGGAAGTCCGCGACATTCAAGAGCATTTTGCACGTTTTGTTAGCGGCATTGTAGCATGTCAGAGGAAGTCACCAGAATAATGGATGGCGACTTTATCTTGATGAAAGTCTTTTTCCATGCTTCTTACTCTTCTCAAATGTCAATGTTTGCTTAAACCTGCACATTGAACGGTCTAGGTTCTTGAGCAATTGAGCAAACGTGTTCAACCCACCTCGATAGCTGAATCGCTCCATTTTGCACTGTTCATTATATATCGTCTGGTAAGCAAAGGAGAACAGCCAAGCTTTTTGAGAATATAATTTTGAACAAAAACTTTTTTATGCACTAACCCAGCACCCTCTGCAAAGCTGAGTAGCGTAAAATCTACCGTTTCTTGAGCAATGTTACTATCATAATTTATCACTTCCTATTACATTCGGCATTACTGTCTATATAAAAATTCAATCGTTAGCACCTTGGGGTAAAAAACGCAAGAATTATCAAAATACATGTCATGTTACCACTCAATAAAGCTCCTTATATCGCCCTCATTGATTAGATGTTCCGTGAATCTGGAATGTATGCGATTATCTTTTGCAGTCAGTTGAAAAGAAACTTGAAAAACACAACTGTTTTTGTAAGAAAAGGTTCGCAGATACGGTGGTCTCAGAACCATGCTCTTTTGCCGAGCTCTTTTTCCATTGAATCCAGATATGAACATTACCCGTTGGATTCATCTTTGTTACTTTGCGAAGTCTTGGTAGGTGAACAATACTAGCAATTGTTTGCCTGAGTGACATTTTTGCAAAGTTGACTTGCAAAAGTAAATATATGTGAATGCAGTGCGAGTAATTTAGAATTCAATGAAGCTTCAGTTCGAACATTTTCTATCATGTGTTTGATTTTAGAGCAGCCTGCTTTTGATATTTTCCCATTTGCTGGAAATTGCACTCATCTCAGTGTTCCCTATGCTCACAAGGGAATGGTCAGAAGTCGAAGTGGCCAAACCAAAGAAGCTGTATGTCATTCGATGCAGTATAAAACGCTGACTTCGAAGCTGCTTCCTTATCTGCTTCCCGCTTCTGTGGACGAAGCTACAAGCGATTTTATTGTTAAAAAAATCATACATAAAAACAGCGAAATTGAGCACATTGTTGCACTTATAGCTCAGCTTCTGGCTTCAAAAATTTGAGTAAGCTAGCTGCATGTTTTAGCCCAGCATTGAGGCGAACGAGGCTTTGTACGGCTAAATTTTCAATTTCACGCATAAACTCTAAGCAAAATAATGGTATTTAATCTTATATATAAAGCTGAATGTCTGTTTGTCTGTCTGTCTGTCTGTCTGTCTGTGTGTGTGTACGTATGTTCCGAATAGAAAATTCCATTTCTGAACCGATCCGGACCAAACTTGGCACACATACACTTCGGGCCCCGGCGGGTGTCATAGGCTACTTTTCGTCATCGATCGATATCGATTTTATCGATTTTTTGCAAAATTTGAGCTACAGAGCTGGAAGTTGGCACAGGGGGGTAATCGAGCATGCTGATCACCCCCGTGGGGGTGATCAGCATGCTCGATTACACTCCTCTGCCAAATTCCAGCCCCCTAGCTCAAATTTAGCAAAAAATCGATAGAATCGACATTGATCGATAACGAAAAGTGGACTGTGACACCCGCCGGGGCCCGAAGTGTATGTATGCCAAGTTTGGTCCGGATCGGTTCAGAAATGGAATTTTCTATTCGGAACATACGGCGGAGCCGGGTAAGCCAGCTAATGGCTTATAACTTCGTCCAAAAAAGCGATAAGCAGGTAAAGAAAACAGATTTAGAGTCAGCGCTTCATGCTGCATTCAACGCTATGCAGCTTGTCTGGAATGGCCACTTCGATTTCTGAAAATTCCCTTGTCAGAAGGATGATCCTCCTGTCAAGTTTTTTTTCTGATTGGTAAACCTTCATTGAGTATAAAATTTATGAAGAGATTGTTTCAAATAAATGTTCTGTCCTAGACCAAAAAAGCTACGGCAACCTAAAGCGAAATGAGGGGCTAACCAAACCATTGTAGGGCTTCTGGCCATTTTCCAGGTATAAGAACGCATAACGCATCAAAATGGATGAATGTACAAACTGAGAAATTTTGCTTTTCTTTTGTTGTGCAGCAACAGCACGATCATTACAGAGATCCTCTAATTAAATCTTTCTGAAACACAAACAATTCAACGGTTGGAGGGGGGGGGGGTTACGTCGGATGGTCATGAACTGGTAAATCTTTGCAGTCAACTCACGTGTAAAGAACTTTTCTCACTCTGGCTTCGAAAGCATTACAGGCAGTAGAACAATATGTAATAAATTTTTTTACTAGTGAGAGTTTTCTCTCCAAGTAAAAACAATTTTGTTTCAAAGTTTATACAAAATTTACAATCCGTGCCAAACACTTGATGCGCAGATACTCTTAGAATGTGACAATTGTGGCGAAAAATTTGGGCTTAACTTCTCGTAAACCATATCTGGTGCAAATTTGAATGTACCCGTATACTTTTCACATCGAGACCAGTTCTTCAATTTACAGTAAGTATACGCCTAGAAGGTTCCCTCGTATGGAAGGGTTTTCTCATGATGTAACCCAATAGATAAACATGTTCCACCGTATATCTACCGTACACCGCTGGCACGCGCATCACGCGCAAGTCACAAGCAACATAGTAGAGCTCCGCCTACTCTTATTTGAGAAGAAGGTTATCATTGATATGTAACAGCTAAGACTCTAACTCCCATTTTCGCCTAAACGCTGGAGCGGAAAGCCCGTTTTGTGCGCATTTTGAATTGTTACATACCACCAGCACACCTATCGTGTCCCAAAGGACCAAGTTTTAAAACAAAAGATGCTTTGCTAGTAATGGACATTTGCTGATTAGAAAAAATTTGCTTGCTTCAAAAAGTTGTGGCACTTCAGATCAAAGACTTAACATATTACAAAAAGTGTAACTGTGCGTAGAACATTCCAAAATAGTACTGGAGCTATAGCGCTTTACAACGTAAACCTATTCTAGAGATACTGGCTGATTTTTATACATACATGTTTCATCTCTACTCGTGGTGTTTGCAGATTTACGTTACTACCACTAATTTATTGTCTACATCAATTACAAGACGAAAGAGAGATAATATTAGGTTGGTGCAAAAGTAATGCGCGTTTTTCTGGCCCTTGTTTCAAGATAGCTTTTCTCCACCAAAGTTTTTCCTATGAAACTCACCCAGCATACTGTCAAGAAGCTTCTTTCATGCTCTATTCAACGGTGGTTGAAAGAAGCTTCTAGCCTCATTCGTTAAAAATTATAGAGCTTCATACAACCGCACTCAAAACCAGAATTTCATTGCACTTACTTTTTCGGCCAGAATTCAAGCGTGAATAAAGGCATTCTTTTGAAAATTTAACTACTGTATGTAGTAGAAATTTTCTGCGTTATGCGCGCTTTACTGTTTTCCTAGAGATTACTTAGACTGAGATCTTGGCGCCTCAACATGAGTAATGGTTTTGGCCATTCTGTGGCCCATAGATTTCCTTTGAAAAGGGCAATCGCCAAAGTTCTGCTCATTTCTGTAAGCGTAAGGGTGGGCCTCCTACTGACAGTTTTTGCAGAAATGTGGAAGCTGTTCAGTACACAGAAAATCAAAAACCTCCATATTTTGGGATTTTGAGGGCTACGAAAAAATGTCGAAAAAAGCGGACAATTTTGAAAATTATTTTTTTTCCTTTTCGCAAACATTCTTTATTTGAGCCCTTTTGTACTTTTTTTGTACTACTGGCTTGCGGCTACAAGACAGTCAACTTATCATTCACACCGATAAATTTTAAAGGAAGTTATGATCAGTTAAAAACGAGGTTTCCGAAAAAGAATTTTTTTGCTTATTAATTCATATTTTTCCACCGATTTGCGAAGTTAAAATAAGTTAATGTGCGCTGTATAGAGAGAGGTTTGGTGCCTCTGAAGAACTTTGCCGCACTGAAAAACATGGATTTTTTAGAAAGTTATAGCACGTCAAAGTGAGAACTTGCAAAACGCGCATTACTTTTGCACCAACCTAATACTACAAAACTACAATTTAGTAATCGTTTTTGACAGATTATAGTCTGCTGCAGAATTCTACTTTCCCCAAATATGGCATCCGCGTAAAGCTACAGATCAGCAATATTCTTCGTGCGAGGTTGAATATCTAAAAGCTTGCACATATAGTTGATATTATATCTAAAATTTCCAAGAGACTATCATGACTTACATTTGCATTTTTCACCATTGTTGTTACTTGTCCAGTGACCGTTAGCCATACACTCGTAGATCTTCAGTGGTTGTTGAGTGACAGCAAACACATATCTAGCAAAATTTTAGGATAACGAAAATCTTCGCTGAATCTAGTACAGCTGTAGCGTTTTTACCCTTACATGCATAATCTTCATTTTACACGTAGAAAATGTAGAAATTCCTATTCAAAAAACACTTTTCATTACATTGAAAGAATTCAACTAAATTTTAGAAACCTTTCTAGGCTACAATTCCTAATACATAAGCTAAGCAATGAGACCGAGTCAATCTTCATCTTTTTATTATGTTGGTGTGAAAGTTCTTGCTTAACTCACACAAAATCCAATAATTTTTTAATACTGAATCGAAATTCATATTTTGGTATCCTGAAAATATTAATAGAATTATGCTTCATTTAAAAAAATTCATTTAAAAAAATGTTCAATGCTTAACATTCTATATATTAGCCACCGAGAGCGAAGTTTTCAAAAATGGCTTTCCAATTTTGAGATTTCGAATTTGGTACTGGAAAATCGTGGACGGCCGCTATAACCCAAAAAAAATCTTAAAAGTTCTCCACCCAGCATAAGTCCACATGTTACTTCGGCATGCTTCTACCCGTATGAGAAGGCAAAAACAAAGAATTTGTGAAAAGTGTCATTTTATAAGAAAAATCCCCTTACCGAGTTTTTTTTACAGAAACACAGAGTTTGGAACAAAAATTGGACAAGTGCCTATTCAGACCAATGTGAGTTCTGGAGCATCAAATGCTAGAAAAAAAGCAAAGAAGGATTCTCTATAAAATAACATTTTTCACAATTTTTTGTTTTTGCGTTACTATATGCAAGATTGAAGCTTGCCACATGACGTAATGACTTTTGTTGAGAGATTTCCATTTTTTTGGGCTAACCAGCGGCCGTCCACGATTTTTTAGCACTAAACTCGAAAGTGCAAATTTTGAAACGCTATTCTTGAAAGCTTTGTTCTCGGTGTGTGACTTATAGAATGTAACGCCTGAGCATCTTTTATAGTGCGCAAAATGTGAATTTGGGTTCAATACTGCAAGATGACAGAGTAAACAAGAAAAGAGAAAGATAATTATTGAGTGTTCCTGTTCGAAATAAATATTTTGCAGAACCATATTCTTGTGGAGTTTTTGGGAACAATGAGAAGTTTTGTCAGAACAGAAAGAGAGTATGTGGAATAAGTATATCAATTGAAGCTCGGGGAGGGATCTCCTTTTGTAGTAAAGCTTCATATTCCTTTGGCGAAAATATTGAAGGATTTTCTGACAAAGTTCTTAGACGATTGATTTCGTTGCTGTCTGGGGGGGGGGGGGGTATCTGAATGTCTCTGTGAGGAGGGGAAATTTGCAGAAAGAGCGTGGTAAACGCGAGAAAAATAATACCCCATGCATGGTTGCAGCAGGAATTTCGAGAAATGCTGAATGATTTGTGGAGATTATTGCTTCTTCGAACAGTCCTCCTTCTGTAAAATGCTTCGCAAAGATGTTCTCAGCAAAGGCATAGAAAACTTATTTAGAAATATTTATAATTACAATAAGCCCTTATATTGTATCTGCCTCTACCCACTTGCTAGCGACCCGTAGGGTCGCTAGTAAGTTTATCAATTGAAGCTTTGAAGATAAGACGGGTAGGGAACGTTATGTCACCACAAGGCTCCACCTGCGCGAGCAACTGGCAAGTTGTGATGTGTGAAAGAGCATTATTGGTGGGGGTGGAGGAACTATGTCGCCGAAAAAGGGCGGTACTCGCGGTCAATTGCGACAAATACGCACCTTTGTACATGCGCGGACATGCGTTCCTGCAGGGAATCCGCGCGGGACTCTTCCAAATCCGGCGACATGTAGTCTTCCACCCTTATTGGTGGCAGATGTCCGCGTAAAACCAGCTTTAATACGACACGGCGTGCCCACCCACTTGAAATTGCTAACGTAAGTTGCATGAGGAAGAATGAGTTTTTGTTATCATAAATTTTGTGGCTAAGCTTAGAAACCATACTCTAAAAGACTTTTCAAACAATTCTTGACTGCCCTTGAATTCTGCATAACTTCATAATTCTCAAAACAAGACACTATTTGCAGCACTGTTCGCCTAAGCACGAAGTTTTGCAAATTGTAAGCGGAACTGGAAATCACAGCTTATTGTCAAACCGAGATTTTTTCCAATTGATTCATCATCTTAGAGTGCACTAAACTCTACTAGTGGTGTGCTGGTGAAGGAAACCAAATCATGGAAGTGATAAGACTTACGAAGGGGCACACATGTGAATAACCGTGGTGCCCACGGCCTGACGTCCAGATAATTCCGGGGAGTCGGGGAGTGGCGAAATCGTATTCGAGGTGTCCACTACTATTTGGGGACAGGTAACTGCTGAAACATGGGTGAATCACTACGTTTGCCTCATGAAAGTTTACCTTTTAGGGTAGAGGACATGCATGCTATTTGTCCGCGTGGGGCAGCCTAATGGCGACCTAATGTCCTCTACCCTAGCTTTGAAACCTGAACAAGAATCGTTCACACTCCATTCTCCCATTGTGGAACATGAGAATATACGTAGTGGGCTCCCATCGGAGAAGACGAAACCTGACTTGCAGGTAACGATGGCTAAATCGTCGGTTTGAAGAGCTTTTTTAACGATTTTGAAATCGTCGCTGACCGCTGTAGTCGCTCTTTTCTATCGTATCAGCATTGGCAATGTCCAGAGAAAGGCTTTTGCAGTCTTTCGGCACTGAAATTTTTATTACGTTGTTTCACACGGCTTTTCATTTCTGAATTCTTACCGCAACAATCATACCTTTCTTATTTACAAATAGGCATCAGTACGCCACCGATGGAGCAAAAAAGCTCTACAAGATGACATTCAAACTCTTTTACCAGCTTTGATCCACCTTGAATTCGAAGACAAAATTCAAAATTTTTGGATGCTCAAAAAATTTGCGACCTAGGCATCTCCCAATCGCTCTCGCATATACACTCTGCATCAGACCTTCATATGTACCTTACGTATTTCTCCCTTTCCTAGAAATCAGGAGCGAGGTTTTTTGAGGTTTTACCAAAATGTGTGCTGTTCATACATAAGTTAGTCTATACTATAAACCTCAAAAAATATAATTTTCTGGCTTTCTAAAAGCTCTATTTTTTTTAGAAAAGTCAAATTACGTTTTCTTACTCGTGTGTTTCATTCTAAAACTATCATTTCTCGGAAAGCAGACCTTTTAGAGTGTTAGGAATTTACGGCTGCACTTTTGAAGATATGTAGCACGCAATGACTTATTATGAACAGCAGAGCTTTACTGTGGTAAAAGCATGGACAGTTTCGCTCTTGCCCTCCAGCTAAGGAATTGAAAATACGAAATAGTGACGCTATATATGAATGTCTGATGTATGTAGAGTGTATCACAGCGAGAGCGACTGAGAGATGCGTCGAACTTTACTGTACAGAATAAATTTTGACCTAATTTTTTAAACGTCTAGGACTTTTTAGATTTTGGTTTCAAACCTGAGGTTCATCAAAGTTGGTGCAAAAATATAGACGCCATCTGTAGAGTTTGCTTTGCTCTGTCGAATGGTTCTGGTGCCTACCTAGAATAAAACCTGTATTATCATTGCGAAAAGAAATCCAAAAATGAAAACTGGGAGAATTTAATGATTTTTCGTTGCGTATTTTGTTTAGTGTCGGTGATTCGAGAGATTGTAGCTGTGTTTCCATATTCGCGGAAACTACACCTCATATACATCATCATGCAATCACGGAAAATCGAAAGTATAGACGAAAATTCAAAACCCTTTATCAAAGGATGATGTCTTCCAGAATGTCAGAGGAGGAAGAAGGGGTCGTTTGTAGAGGGGGGGGGGGGGGAGCGAAAGACTAAAGACTTGTGCCTGACCTCTTGCTCCACTCTACATAGTCTCAGAAATGTCTTTAAAGAATATAACACAAAATAAGAAAATGACTCTTACTCAACTTCACTCCTCTTTTCCTCGTAACAAATTTCAAATTATTTCGCGCACTAATCACGGAATATATACTGTACTACTTTTACCTACGGTCTCATTAGCATTTGGAGCTCGGGTCGCGAGACTGGAAATGTGATAGAATTCCAATTATACACATACTTAGAAACAGGAGATGATCTCGGGTCCAAATGTAGCGTCACCTGAAGCAAAAGCTTAGGCAGCGTTTAGGCAAAATTATAGGAGTTTGGAGGCTGCGTTCGGGCAAAATTATGAGTCCCCGATTAGTACCAATAAAGCCTTAGAAGCAGAGTAGGACATCTTCGTTGGTCCGGTCCTTTAATGTGGCCTCTTAATGGAGAAATGGACCTGGAACCCGCAAAAGTGCTAAAGCCACGCCCGCTCTATCAAGCTCCGCCCCCTTCCCCTTCCTTCAGGTATACTCAAAATCGTCTGTGTCTTCAAGGTATGGCTCCCAGAAATCGGGTCTTTTGAGGTTTTGCACATTTTGCATTTCGTATCTGTAATCAGAGCCACGAAAAAACCCCAAAATGACAAAAAGTTCTGCTTTACCTGTATCATAGATGGTTTTATAGACAAAAGTGCCATTTGGATAGACGTACAACTGCTTGATCACTACCGTACCATTCGGTAGACTTTCGGAAGTCTCGTTAATCTAGATTTCAAAATCTTTCTAAGATTATTCATTTACGCGCGAGTGCACTACCTTAACCATCACATCACTTGCTGCACTGGTTGTTTTGCCGGCAGTGCTATTCGCTCCCCAAACTGTGGTCAAAGCTCCAGGACTGAGACTGGAGTTCAAAGTGGGCTGAGGAATGAAAGTAGCATCTGTAGAAGGAGCTGCAGAATTAGGCATACGAGTTGATGTTCCACCCTCCGTGGCCGATCCATTTCCAGAATTAGTTTCGTTCTGGTAAACACTTGCGTTGCCGAATTCAGCCGTGGTAAAAGCAACAGCTTGGGTTACAACTGTACCATTACCGGCGGTCTTGTTCGCAGTCACTAGAGTGTTGGTCATACTCTCTCTTCCATCTGTGACTGCTTTGGATGTAGTGCTAGACAAAATTTTGGACACTGAAGTGGTCTCTCGAGCGGAGACAGTGCGGAGCGCAGAAACATGAGTAGAGGAAGATGATGTATCGGTTTCCTTCGAGGAGGAAATGTTAAGCTTCTCTTGCACAGACACATTTGCACTCGTAGGATCTGAGAATGCGCTTGTCCAAAGTTTAGGCGCACTCGTAACGTTTACCACAGAAGTAATGTTTTTATCGTCGGTAGCCTCCACTCCAGTGCTTCCATTATATGGTCGTGAAATCCCACCTGCCTGTACTGTTGTCCATTGCGTCTGATTCCACTTTTCGGTTGGCTTGGTGAGGTTTTTGATTACAGAAATTGTTCCTGTAGTGACATTATTTGATACCATAGTTGAAGTGTAATGCGTATAATTTGTTAATCTTTTCTCGGTAGAAACAGTGGAATCAAATCTGCTTCTTGTGCTGTGTGAGGTACGCATTTTCAAACTTTCAGCCTCTGGAATGACCGTTGTAATCGAACTGTAGTCCTCTACCATATCAACCGCTTGACGTGAATCATTCCTGTCGGTCCCATTATGTCTGATTGTAGGAATATGCACATATTCTGCCTCGAGGGTGTTGACACTTTTGGTGCTGTCAGTGAATTCAGAGAATGTAATGTTGAGCTTTTGTGGTTCCATGGTACTAATCGGCGCAAGTGTAGCTCCACCGTGTTTCGCTTTCGGCGAAATGCTCTGCAAAGTGTCGTTTCTTCTAGACGAAGGAGTCGAACGGGTGGTACCCAGATTCTGGTCGTTCCGCTCATCGAAGACTAACTGTTCGTCTCTCGGATCTACTGTGGTATAGGCCTCGCTTTGGTTGCTGTTGCCGGCACCCAGAGTGACAGATGGTACCAAAATGGATGAATCAGTAAAACTGCTAACATTTCTACTAGTGTTGTTCTGTCCCCTGGTCATGTTCTGCTTCGACTGCTCTTCACTGCCGGAAACATGAGTACCTTCTGTTATGGAGGTTACGAACACAGAAAAAGTGCCATCTTCATTAACAGCAGACTCATTGCGATCCACATTCTTGCCAGTAATGTTGGCAACTGTGCCAGGACTGCTATCAGCGAATTCTCTTACGCTGAAACCCGTCGTGTCCTCCTTAGTTCCCAGTCCTTCATTGAGAGGGCTTCCACCATTTGGCTGCCTAGACGACGTCCCAGATCGGACTCTCGATGTCCCACTGTTGTCGTTACTAGCTGGGGCTTTTGACGAAGCTCGTATATGCTTCGTTGAAACTTGATCTTCTGTAAGATAGTGCTTGCTAGTGTGCTTCTCTGCACTGTCCGCATCTTTGCTTGCAGGACCATCCTTCTCATAGCCGTTTCCTCCTGAAATAGTAGTCCCTGGTTGCTTAGATCCTATCGTTCGCGGTGTTCTGTCGTTTGCTGCCTCATGGCTAACCTGCAAGGGATCAGTTCACATGCTAGGTTTTGAGGTAAGAATTCTACCAATATGCAAGCTTCACTGGAGCATTTTTATAGAAGACAAATTATGGTTGTTCCTTCCTTTTTCCTTACGAAATATGAATGAGACAGCGCTTGTGGTGGATCCAGGACAGGGTAAAGTAAGGAAGGGGATGCATTTTTCCAAAATTTAATTTGGGAGAAATTTGCAAAAAATATCAAATGTCTCGTTTCTTCTATTCTTTTGTTTCAGTTTCGATATTATGATTACAGTAAGCTCCGCGAAATTTTCGCAAGCTTCTAATCCAATTTTGAAAAGAAGTCTTTCTATCTTTACCTACCCTCTCCCCACCACGTCATCTGTTCTTGATAGATTGTGGCGCAAATACTGGATTTCTAGTGTTCCCCCATTCCACAGCACACAATCAGTTGAACGATCATGAATCAAAGTTTGAAAGTTTACTATCGCTTTTCTCAGAAAAGGAGTCAGTCCATGTTAAGAAACAAACAAATATCACCAAAAGGTCACTGTATTTATGAAATCTGTAGATGACTGTGATTACAGTGTCAGCAATGCATGGCGGTCTCAGTTAGGGATTTCCATTTGAGGGGGGGGGGCGTTAACAAAAAAATTCTTTGCAAAAGAAAGCGGCAGCAACTCTTTGGGAAAGATCTTTTACAAAGCTAACTAAAAGATTTCGAAAATTACTTCATACTTACAAGTATAGACGAGTTACTTGCACATCTTTTTAGGCTACCCACTCTTGGGAGGGTGTATGTCGAAAGGCGCGCGTTCCCTAAGCCTTCATTTTCAGACTAGATCAGTTCTCTACAACAGCGAGGTTTCCAGATTCCAAGACTTTTGGTAGTACATCAGAAAGCGTAATGGAGGATAACCAGTTGAAATCGGAAAGTATTGAAATAAATCTGAACTTATTTCTTGCATCTCCCAGTTAATGACAATCGATCAATACGCGCCATTCGACCGTCTCCCCTCTTGGGAGAGGGGAGTGGGAGCCTACACATGTTCAGTATAAGTCTTCAAATTTTAGGGGTACCAACGCAAGCATTTTCAAGCAATCATTATTTCCTCTTCACCGTTTTCGGAGGTACATAAGCGGAAAAAGCTTAGCTACACCACTTAGAGCTTTGAGCAGGCCTAAGTAAAGACATCATTGTTGAACTGATTTCTATTGCGTACTTTTTGTTTGCAAGAGTTGTGCAACTAGATGTGAAAGTGACATGCGGTGACCTTATCTGTAGGCAGTAGCTCGGCAAAAATGGACCTTTATCAGTTTTAGTGGTAATGGTAGATGATACTTTTTGTATATACCGTAGCCATAGTCTTACTCTCAAAACTATACCCGAAGATAATGGGTTTCAAAAATCTACCACTAATTCCCACTTTGAGTGGGCGTAGCTGGTGAACACTGGAGATTTTCAGGATCTAGCGCCCAGTTGGAGGGTGAAATCGAGGCTGCGGTGTACTTGGGGGTCTACTATCTGAAACCATCAAAATTTGTTAGGGGGGTATATTGCTGAGCTGCTGCTTTAAATTATTAATTTGCTCTGTTTTATTTTTCAGTAGAATTTTACATTCAGATACTGTTGGAGCAAAATTTTTGTAGAACTAGTGTTAACCTTCGTGTCCTTCGCCTTTGTCGACGCTTTGAAACTAGTGTTTCCGAACGAGCCGTTAGCGTCTAAAATACTCTCTCACTATAGTGCATGCACAAACTAGAAGACTTACTAGTTCCATAACTGATGAAAGACAATCCACTCAGCCGAGCAGTTGTTCGAATGTCAAAAGATTCTGTTTCATCAGTCTGTTTGAAGCTCGAGTTGGAAGGCAGATCTGTTTTTTTACTCTGAAATGGTTAAGTGCTCAAAGGGGCAAATTATGTCCATAAACGCAAGCGTCACGGAGCAGTAGAATTCTCTATCTTATATATAAAGTTGAATGTCTGTTTGTATGTCTGTCTGTCTGTCTGTATGTCTGTCTGTGTGTACGTATGTTCCGAATAGAAAATTCCATTTCTGAACCGATCGGGACCAAACTTAGCACACATACACTTCGGGCCCCGGCGGGTGTCATAGGCTACTTTTCGTCATCGATCGATATCGACCCCCTTGGGGGTGATCAGCATGCTCGATTACACCCCTCTGCCAAATTCCAGCCCCCTAGCTCAAATTTTGCAAAAAATCGATAAAATCGACATCGATCGATAACGAAAAGTGGATTGTGACACCCGCCGGGGCCCGAAGTGTATGTGTGCCACGTTTGGTCCGGATCGGTTAAGAAATGGAATTTTCTATTCGGAACATACGGCGGAGCCGGGTAAGCCAGCTAGTTCAGGATTGTTTCGGGATACGATTTACTGTAGCGCAAAGCGATGAAGGCCCTCAACACCTCAACCGGACACTTCATAGCTGGTAAACAAGAGCCCTCTAGATTGAGCTACTGATGCTCTCAATGATGGTGCATCATTTATCATACTAAATTGGAAACTGCGCATGACTTATAAATTCAAAATTCCATAAATTCTTCCACAGAAGCCATTGGGAAGCAGATACGATATCATCGTATTAAAACATTTCCTTGCATTCATACCTCCTCTACCTTTTTTCGTTTTTTCGTTTCATTTCGAAGTTCGCTTTCACATAAACATACCTCTTCTAAAACATAATCATTGCATGATAAATTGTAATCTGCAACTAAATAGTCAACAGGTAAATCAACAGTTGGTTTCTTTTGTTAGCGCGCAGTTGTCCATGGGGCAGTGTCAGAGCTACATAAATATGGAGTTGGTGTTTGGCGGCGTAGGTCAGGACTGCGATTTTCTAGCCGAAGGTTGTCTTCTTCCTTTTTATCCCTTCCTAGGAACAATAGGTTGGTTCATAAATAAGTTCGTTTTTACAGCTTTGACAGTTCGTTTTTTCAAAGCTTTAACAATTCAGGTAACAGTTAATTAGCAAAAGGAGGTGGATACAGACCTCTTCTCTAAAATACCAGATTTTCAAAACTGTTCGTTATCAACAAATGAAAGTTGTGCCCTAATATGGCTAAACTTCTGAAAAACCACCTTTTTACCTTTTAATTTTCGATCTCGCCTGTAGTGAGTACACATACGAGCAACCTTTGGCTGCATGGCGAACCACTATAGAGATTGTCACCCGCTGTTTGTGAATTTCTGTAGCCAAAAAATGTGAGAATTAACCATTTGCGCGTGGATGTCAGTTTTTGCGAAATCCAGATCGTCGAATTTCACCATTTACGGTCATGATGGGTGAAAATTCGGAACTCTGTTGTGTGGCATCAGCATTTACACCCAGCTTCAGTTCCTTTATCGTAACATGATTTTTCGAAAAACTGTTGAAAAATCTGACCATTTTGCTTTCCTGCACCATCTCGTCATGAAGAATATTTTTCTTAAATAAACATAGTAAGCCATCCGATTCTCCTTGATTTGTTCTTTCCACTGGTACCAAACTATTATACATAAATCAGTTTGTAACATATCCACAAACCGTTGAAAACGACCGAACTTATTTATTAGCCAACCCAATATACAGGGTTGGGGGAAAGTTCTTGAACAATTTTTGATGTCCTTGTATGTTCAGGTTTTCCACAAATTTTTGCATGCTAATTACATGAGTTTGCTTCTTATACTCTTGAGTAGAAGCCCTCAAAAAACTGGACTATTAGCTTTTTTCCTGTTGGAGATATGCCTTCTGGAATGGAGCGAGCATTGATGGAAAAGATGCACGAGGAGAGGATGGCTGACCAGCAAATTGCGCGGACTCTCCAAACTCAACAGATCAGGGTCTTTTCTACCTTGCGTCGTTTCTAGGACATGAACAACACCCAGGACTGTTGTATGAGTGGTAAATTGGCTACTGCGGGCAGTAACGAATTTCCGAAAATCGTTCGCCAACGCCTTCGCCGCAATCCTCTGCGAAGCTTGATTGAGCCGGCTTCAGAACTGTCCATCTCTGGCAGGACAGTCTCCGACATCGTAAAAGAGCGCCTTGAGATGAAGCTTTTTAGCATGCTAAAATTTCATGCTTTTTGGGAAAACACGAAGCTGAACTGACTGCGCAGATGCCATCAACTGCTTAAACGTCTCTCCAAGGCACGCCACAGAACGGCACTCTTTTCTGACGATAAAATTTTTACCGTAAAAGGGCTTTCAATCTCCAAAACACCAGGAATCACATCGTAATCGCGCTAGGAGCCATCAGCAGAGGTTGACTCGCCAAAGGAGAGCCTCATCCGGCTTTTCTGATGGTTTGGGTGGCGATCACTTCCGGCGGCAAAATGCCACTGATCTTAGCGCCTCAGGGCATCAAGGTGGACGCTGCTACATAGTTGGATAGCATTCTGAAGAAGCGACTGATGCCCTAGACCAATATCCATTTTGCAGGGAAAGATTGGTGCTTCCAGCAGGTACCGCACCTGCGCACACAGCGAAGGTAGTTCAAACTTGGCTCCAAAGCAACTTTAAGGTCTTTACTACTGTTGTGGAATGGCGTCCGTTTTCGCCCAATCTGAATCCCCCGACTAAAAGGTCTGGTCAATTCTTTAGGCCAAAGCCTGCGCTCACCCATGCAAGACAGTGGACTCTCTGCGACTTCCTCTTCAGGAGGCGTTGGAAGAAATCGACGTGAAGCACCTCCGTACCATCATGGACAGCGTTCCCAAGCGTTTCCGAGCTTGTGCTCGCGTCAGAGGAAGAATCTTTGAATTGTAAAGCCACTTTTGTGTAGCAGACAGTTAAGTAGACATTATCTATTGATTTCACATAATCAACTTGCCTAGCCTCATCATTACGTCAAAAATACCGTGTTCAAAGACTTTCCCCCAACCCTGTAATTCGATCTGACGAACCATGAGCATAAAATTTTTGGTGGAATAAAACAAACTTTGCTCTCATTGTTTAAGCAATGACTGGCTGAGAAAGCACCCCAAAATTTCTAGAAATTTCTTACAAGCAAATTCTGTCAAAAATTCACACTCAGTCACTTCTTTTTTGGTGTGTGTGTGTGTGTGTGTGTGTGTGTGTGTGTGTGTGTGTGTGTGTGTGTGTGTGTGTGTGTGTGTGTGTGTGTGTGTGTGTGTGTGTGTGTGTGTGTGTGTGTGTGTGTGTGTGTGTGTGTGTGTGTGTGTGTGTGTTACAGGATGCGCTGAATCAAAGCGAAATGCCAAAAGGAGAGCTTTTTGATAAGCTGGAAGGAGGAGGGGGGGGGGTGGCGGAAGCCAACTAGTAAGCAATAACCATGTGAAATATTTTTCCTGTAGATTAAAGAAAGGTGTAAAAAAAGGGTAGCTAGCCGAATTTATGCCATGGTCTTCCCCTAAAATCTCACAGATAAGTCCTCCCATCAAATGAGTCCGCCTACAGATAAGTACGTTTTTTCCCACTATAATTCTTGAAATCTTGTCAGATAAATCCGAAGACTCTCAGATAGGTCCGGACTTATCTGTAGGGCGAACTTATCTGCAAGATTCTTGGCGGTGCATTTCATCGTTTTTTGTCAAAAAAGCGGACTTGTCTGTAAGATTTTAGGGCAATCAAAATTCAGGACTCGCCTCAATAATCTGAATGCTGGTGTCACTTGATACCAGATACGAGTTATTCCCTTCGTTGTCTCTGTTAGTTGTCGTTGTAGGCATCATCGGCCCTGGTCCTTCTCCGCTAGCAGTTGTTTTAATAAACGTTTTCCTTGATGTTCCTGCTTGGAAAACCAAACTTTTGCGAACATCTTGAGAGCAGAAATATACCTTTGGCGGAGAAACCGACATCATTACTCGAGTAAACTTCTGAAAGGGGACTGCCTTTCTTTGTAGCGGTTGGCCTTGTTTCTAGTCTTCCTTGAGTAGTTACTTTGATTGAACTTTCATGTGAACCTATTTGAACAATTCTTGTGCCATTTTTTTGCACACGTTTAATTACCTTCGGTGACGAAACCGGCATTCGTACTTGGACTATCTTCCGGAACAACTAAGCTACCATTCTTCGTATCAAATGGCTTTTGCTGAGGTCCACTAGCTCTGGTAGTTGACTTAGTTGTGGTCATTCCTGATGCTCCTAATCAAAAAATCAATTTCTGTAGATACATTTCTTGCTCACTCAAGATTACCTTTCGAGTATGAACCGGCATCAGTACCTGAACTATATTTTGGAGAAACTTGACTACCATTCACTGTAGTATATAGCAATGCACCTGCTCCTTTCTCTTGAGTGGTTATTTTAGTTGAGGTCATTCGTAATGTTCCTGATTGAAATTTCGATTTCTGTATATTTTTTGCTCGCACAAACTTACCTTTCGTATATAAGGCATCGGTACTCGAACTATCTTGTACAAATACGCTACCATCCTTCGCAGTAGGTAGGCGTGGTCCTGGTTGGTTTCCTCTACTGATTATTCTAGCTGAGGTCGTTCGTGATGTTCCTGATTAAAAATTCGACTTCTTTACATTTTTTGAGCACACGATATACCTTTGACTGAGAAACTGGCATCACTATTTGGGCTATCTCCTGGAGGAGTGAAATCGTCATTCGTTTTAGTAGGGGTTTTTCGTTCTGGTTCCTTTCCTTTGGCAGTTGTTGTAGTTGAGGTTTTTCGTGATGTTTCTGCTTTGAACAATTTCACTTCTAAAGAGATTGCCCAAGAAAAGATACCTCTTGTGGGTAAACCGGTACCACTACTTAAGCTATCTCCCACTCCTCTTCCTATAATAGTTACTTTGGATGAGATCTTTCGTGAAATTCCTGATTAAAAATTCGATTTCTTCGATCTGTACATTTTTTGCTAACAAAAAATTACCTTTCGCGAATAAACCGGCATCAGTGCTCGAGCTATCTTCTAGAACCAGTACGCTACCATCCATATTGGGTAGGAATGGCCCTGGTCGATTTTCTTTGGAAGTTATTTTGGTTGAGGTCATTCGTGATGTTCCTGATTAAAAATTCGACTTCTCATTTTTTGCACACATAATTTACCTTTGAAGAAACCGGCATCATCCACTAAGCTATCTCCTGGAGCAATGAGACTGTCATTCGTTTTAGTAACTGGTTCTGGTTTCTTTCCTTTAGCAGTTGTTATAGTTATAGTTGAAGTTTTTTGTGATGTTCCTGCTTTAGACAATTTTACTTCTGAAGAGATTTTTTGCACAAAAAAAATCACCCTTTGTGGGGAACCCGCCGCCACTACTTGAGCTATCTTCCAGGACAAGGCTGGCATTCGTTTTAGTTGTTGAATTTTGTTCTGATCTTCTTCTTACAGTAGTTTCGGTTGAGGTCTTTCGTGATGTTCCTGATTGAAAAGACTTCGGTATATTTTTTGCTGATAAAAATTACCTTTCTTGAATAAACCGGAATCAATACTTGAGCTATTTTCTGGAACAGGTAGGGTACCATTCTTTGTAGTAGATGGGTATGGTCCTAGTCCATTTTCTTTGACAGTTATTCTAGCTGAGGTCGTTCGTGATGTTCCTGATTAAAAATTCGACTTCTGCACATTTTTTGCGCGCATAATTTACCTTTGGTGGAGAAACCGGCATCACCTTTTGAGCTATCTTCTGAGGGAATGAGACTGTCACTTATTTCAGATGAATTTCGTGGTTCCCTTTCTTTAGCACTTGTTATAGTTGAGGTTTTTCGTGATGTTCCTGCTTTAGACAATTTTATTAGGTTGTAACAGAATTAATGCAAGTTTTCTGAATTTTGTGTTTGAATCATTATAACTTTTTACACAAATAGTCTTTTCGTGTGCAGCAAGAATTGTTGTAATCAGCAAACCTTTCTCAACTCAATATGCATTATTGCGTTGTTGTAGCTTCACTGAGAAAAATCTTATAGCCCGAGTTCTGCCAAAATTTTTTCAGAAAACCTTCACTTTAAGAGACCATAACTTATTATCAAATGTAGTAAGGTAGCGCAAATATAACTCATTGTGTAGGCTATGGTCGGCTGTGCAGTAGCGCTAAATTCGGAATTGAAAAAGAATTCTTTGCGAGAGGATATTTGAAAAAATTTTGAAAGTACTCATTTTTTCGACTTTTTTGAGAATTTGAGAAATCGCTTTTTTTGAAACTATTGAATTTTTCCAAAGCTGAGTAGGGAGAATGGCTCCCGGTTTTTTCAGCCATAAATGTCTAAAGTCTATTCTCCCTATATAAAGCGGAGGCATCGCAGTCGCTTCGCGCTGAGGATTTTTATATAGGACAGACGGACCACAGCGACCGCTGAATTTTGCTCTGAAATTTTTCGGCTCATATGTTTTCAGAACTCATGATTCAGCATGCATTTTGTAACATAGCTTATTCAAAAATACTATGTGAATTTGCAGCGAATTCCGATTGTTTCTGGTGGTTTTAGAGCCAGGTATGTTGAGGGAGAGAATTTCGAGATTTGGTTTATTGAATTCATGAGCTCAGAACTTCTAGACAAATTCACTTCCACTGAAACGAAAGAATGCATAAGAAATTAGAAGAAAATAGCTTCCAAATGATATGCAAAACTCTCTGGGAAAACACTTTCCCTTTCTAAAACAGCATTCTAAAAAAGGTGAGCGAAAAACCTGCATTAATTCTGTTACAACCTAATACTTCTGAAGAGATTTTTTGCACAAAAAAAAGATCACCCTTTGTGGGGAAGCCGCCGCCACTACTTGAGCTATCTCCTAGGACAAGGCTGGCATTCGTTTTAGTTGTCGAATTTTGTTCTGATCCTCTTCCTATAATAGTTTCGGTTAAGGTCTTTCGTGATGTTCCTGATTGAAAAGACTTCGCTATATTGTTTGCAAAATTACCTTTCTTGAATAAACCGGCATCAATACTTGAGCTATTTTCTGAAACAGGTAGGCTACCATTCTTTGTAGTAAATGGGTATGGTCCTGGTCCATTTTCTTTGATAGTTATTCTAGCTGAGGTCGTTCGTGATGCTCCTGATCAAAAATTCGACTTCTGCAGATTTTCTGCGCGCATAATTCACCTTCGGTGGAGAAACCGGCATCACCTTTTAAGCTATCTCCTGAAGGAATGAGATTGTCATTCGTTTCAGTAGATAAATTTCGTGGTTTCCTTTCTTTGCCAGTTGCTATAGTTGAGGTTTTTCGTGGTGTTTCTGCTTTGAACAATTTTACTTTTAGAGAGCACGCACATAAAAATTACCCTTGGTGGGTACGGTACCACTCCTCAAGCTTTCTCCTCGGACAAGGCTGTCAGTCGTTTTAGTAGTTGAATTTTGTTTTAATCCTCTTCTTACAATAGTTATTTCGGTTGAGGTCTTTCGTGATACTCCTAAAATTCGAATTCTTCGATTTGTACATTTTTTGCTGGCGAAAAATTACCTTTTGTGAATAAGCCGGCATCACTCCTTGAGTTATCTTCTAGGATGAATACGCTACCATCCCTATTGGGTAGCAGTGACCCTGTTCTTTTTTCTCTGGTAGTTATTTTAGTTGAGGTCGTTCGTAATGTTCCTGATCAAAAATTCGACTTTTGCTCATTTTTTGCGCACATAATTTACCTTTGACGGAATAACCGGCATGACCTTTTGAGCTATCTCCTGAAGGAATGAGACTGTCACTTGTTTCAATAGATAAAGTTCGTCGTGGATCTCTTTCTTTAGCAGGCATTATGGTTGAGGTTTTGCGAGATGTTTCTACTTTGAACAATTGCAATTGAACGGTACCACTACTTGAGCTATCTCCTGAAACCAGGCTGTCATGAGTGTCACTAGCAGGTGAAGTTCGTGCTGGTCCTCTTCTTCCAGTGATTATTTTGGTTGAGGTCTTTCGTGATGTTTCTGATAGAAAATTCTGTTTGTGTACATTTTTTCGCACACAGAAAATTACCTTCCGAGAAACCGGCATCAGTAGTAATAAAGGGAAGAAAGCGCTTAGAAAGATCTTCATTTCCTTGTCGCAGTTTCCATTCTTCTGGATTTTTTGCTCTTGCAGTTGTTGTAATTGAGGCCTTTCTTGATGTACCTGTTGCGAATAATTTGAGTAGATATTTTCTGCGCAGAACTACATGTTATAAAAAACGAGCACCAGTGGTTGAACCATTTCCTTGAGTGACGCGGTTCTCCTTCCGTGTAGTTGTCGTCGTCGGTGGTCCTCTGCTTTTGGTGGTCGTTGGAGTTGGAGCGCTTTTCGATGTTCCTAATACATTGACTTTACTCGCTAGACATTTCAAGCAGACGAAATCCCTTCGGGATTGGTACCTTCATTCAAACCGCCTGTATTCGCAAGTTCGGCTTCGTTTTGAGTTGGTCCAGGCACTGCATTAGTCGTAGATGCGCCGGTCGTCGCACTCCCCTCTCCAAAATGTCCTCCGTTGCCGAGGTCGAGGATTTTCTCCTCGGAATAGTTGGGTCTATCAAGCATAATATCATTATCAGGCGTTACATCAGCATCAATTCCATAAGGAAAATCTTGGCTTCCAAAATGTCCCCAGTTGCCGAGATCGGGGATTTTCTTGAGATAGTTGGGTTCATCGCCGAGCTTAATATCAGCATTTCCATAAGGAATCTGGCTGCTGACTCCAAAAGGTGCATCGTAGATCAGAAGGATGAGCGTTAGCTGCGAGAAGAGCTTCATCATTTGAACACAACAGTGAATGAAAAGCAGTCACCAAGCAGCATCCCAGCAACGTTTGCCGTATAAAATTATGCTAGGCAACCGCCATGGTAAATGCTAAAAAAGTGCCGACATTTAAATTGTTTGTGCTCCAACATAATGCTGCTTTCAGAAGAAGGAGGCCTTCAGATGAAACATTGAGTTCACACGGAGAAAGCTACCGAACATATTCCTCGATTGATCTATCACAGTTGGTAGGAGTTTATCGGCTTCTCCTAACGAAAAATAAAGAGTGTAAATAGTATTTATGGCGGACGGAAGATACGGCATGATTCGAATTGCATCACACCAGCTGGAAACACATAACTAGGTACGTTAGAAGCCGATGAGCATGTTTTGAATAGTGAGGCTTACAAATCTTTTACAGGGCACCCCAAAAAGATGTGAACACTGTTTGATCGTTGATAACTCTCCTGCTTCCAAGTCTTTCGCAGAGCTTAAAGTACCCTTCTGTAGAGCGAGGTTCAACTCAGAGTTACAGTATAGAGCAAATATCAATCACTCTTCGTTACTGCAGGATTACGGTAGGGAATTCTAAAAGGATTTTGAGCCATTGAAAGCGATAATTTGCCTCAAAAAGCCAAACAAGCGAACACTCTCGTACTGGGCTAATCGAAGCCTTTGGTTTCAAATATGAATTTGCATTCATTGTAGTGCTTCTTTCATGAGTTGTTTCAGGTCTAGGATAAAAACGGTTTTTCTAATGTTTGTTAGAAATGTGTTTATACGATTAACAAAGCTCGGAAAAATGGTAAAAAGGTATTTAGTGAAATCAGCACGCCTGAAAACCTTGCTACACAAATTTACAAATTTTTTTGAATTTATCTCATCAAAAGGCCTTTTCAGTGACGCTTTATGCCAAAAGTTCATAAAATACTCCTACAGGTAAAGAAGTTATTGATAGTTGCTCTAGTAAATTCAAGTCAAAGCGAAAGACATGGAAGCAAGAGAGTTATCAACGATCAAACAGTGTGCACATCTTACATCTTTAGGGCCGGGCATGCTTCACGCGATTTCAGTCGCGACGCGATTTGGCAATATTCCAATTGTCCATAACTCACTGTAAGCAGATCTTAAGTGCACAGAAGATAGGGCATTTTATCAAACCGCGTAAGTTACACACACTATACATGTGCAGTTCGCTAGCGTTGGATTCGAAGACTTCTGGCGAATTGCCAAATCGCCTCGCGACTGAAATCGCGTAAAGTATGCCTGGTTCCTTTCGGAACATCCTGTATATGGTGCACATTTATTTGTTCGTTTTGATTATGGCGTATTTGATCAAATTACTCTTTTTGGGACTATTGGGTCGGCCCAAAAGTATATGCCGTTCTTCGGACCCATTCTCAAACCATGCAGAATTCTCTCCTCTTTCTAACAGTTATGTTCTTGCTTAGATTTTTCTGATGTCGCTCAAATAACCGTCACAATCCCCTAACCTATGATTTTTACCTATCTTGAGTCTAGCTATATTTTGATATTCCAACTCCAACTCTTGGACTAGCTTTAGTAATAGTTGGATAGGATCAAAATGCAACACAACACATTTTGGCATTTCTAGTGGCTTCTAAAGATTATTGGAATTATTTTTCCGAGTTATGAAATTCCAAATTTGGGCGTACCAATCTTCACAGAATAATGAAGGACGAGCATCCACAGTGTATTCGATGCATCTTTTTCTTCTCATTTCGAGAAGCGCTTGTTCTTTATTATTTGTGAAATATTCTCATCGTTAGAGGAAAACTCCATAATGCTTATTTTTGACTCCCCCCCCCCCTCCCCCAGGCTGTACACAAAAAATTCGGAGTTCGATAGTTCGAAGGGCTAAATGCTCACTCGGTTGCTAAAAATTAGAGTTGAGCCACAAGTTGTTTTTTTAAATTTTAAATACCGAAGATTTACTAGAGTTTGAGACGGTTGCGTATTTTACGACTTTGAGGAAAGGCTTTTGGGAAAATACTTTTGAAAATCACGGAAAAGCTAGCTGAAGAGAGCAAAATAGTTCATTGTGTCTCATTTTGTTTACTTCATGGAATTGTTAGCAGAGTGAGTTAACAAAACATTTTGATAGAAAAAAAATAACACACTTGGTTGCTTTATACGAGGACGGGTAAAATCACTCATTTTATCCCAAACGCATATTCCATTTTTTGCTCTCGTAGACCCTCATAACTCCTCACCAAACGTTCCGCAATCAAGGAAGAGGAAGAAAATGTAATTAGTGTCCAATGATTCGTCCAAAATTTGCAACCAGCATCCAATGTCTTCGATATCGTATACGTCCCATTTGGAAAGATCACTTCACTAACATCCTTTCCCTGTCAAAAAATTATTCTTTCATTCCATAGAACAAATTCTTTCACGCGAAATGGGTATTTTTTCCAAACGATTATGTTCAAAAAAAAACCCTCTCTCCAGGTAAATTCAGCAAAAACTGAAAGAGGTTGAGACTTCTCCTCTTATTCCATAAACATACCGTAACCCTTACATGCCATATCAAAGTTCGACGAAACTGCATCTTTAGTTACGTCGTTATTTTGACAATACCGCAGAATATATGCACCACGTTCAAAAAGACAAAAGTTATATAGAAGGTTTACTTAAGGACTGGCCATACTTCACGCGATTTCAGTCGCGACGCGATTTGGCAACATTCCAACTGTTCATAACTCATTGTCAGCAGATTTTAAATGTACAGAAGATAGGGCATTTCATCAATCCACGTAAGTTATACATGCTATGCATGTGCAGTTTGCTAGTGTTGTATTTGAAGGCTTCTGGCGAATTGCCAAATCGCGTCGCGACTGAAATCGCATGAAGTATGCCCGGCCCTTTAGGTGACAACCTGATAAAGTTCAATAATATTACAATCAAAGCAACCCAACTAATTGTAAGACTAGATCCAGTATGGCATCATGTGGTCATTCTGTATATCTTGGGATGTCTTATGCGCCCCATGTTTCCTCAAGAGCATCAATAATATGACGTCAAAAATAATTTGAAACACATGCATTTCTGATTCCAATAAAACTTTGATTTCTCTGTGGATTGCACATGCTCTCAACAGTCGCATATTGTCTTACGTGTGGTTCGACCAGAAACCTAGCGCGAAAATTCTCGAAGCGTGCTAGACTTTATTTCCTTGAAGACGAAGGGAGCACAGACTAAAACGTGCTATGCAAACATATAAGCAACTACGCTGTCTAACAAAAGTGTCTGCAGAGAATTTATCAAACGATTGAAATGCTCCACCGTGATCTTTCACAAAGGCGAGCTTCAAATATAAGGCAAAACAAACAAATAGCTTGAAGGCACCTTCCACCCAGATTCTCGTCTTCCAGGTTTTTGTCGTTTCAGGGCCTTGTCATGTCCCTGACTCCGAATATGAAGTCGAGAATCCGCGAAAACCCCGACAATCCCCATTCCGGAGAATCCACAGGTCGGCTTTCCGGAACGGTGGTTGAATGAGCGCGCACAAATGGGCGGCATGGATGGGGCTCCTCGTGCTTCTTCGTTATTCCGGAGCGGTTTTCTTGCTTCAGAAGAAACAATTTGCACTGCGACTTGGGCATTCTCTTGGTAGGAGGCCCTAGTATCATATGCTGCAAAAGCTCAAGACCCTCAACTTAGGGTGGACGGTGCCTTTAACTGCAGCGCAGAGACGAGCATATGACACCAAATTTGAACTGTTATAGAGTCTCATCCAGGGTCAAGCGTGTTGGTGCGATCCGGGACCCCCATTCACGACCCCCGCCCTTGAAGGTACCCATCCGTACGATCCCCGCCCCATCTACCCCCCCCCCCCTCCCTCCCATTTACCCCCTTACCTCCCCTGCCCACATTCCTCGCGGTAACCTGCATAAACGAATGTCAACCTCAAAAACCCTCATCTGCGTGGAACTTCAGTAAGGTTTCGGAAGCAGAATTTTTAAGCCAATAGGTGCACCCAGCATGTGTAGCACACATACACACCTTCAATAGTGTTTGAGACTCTGCAAGTTTTTTTTTTTTGAATTTTCAGGCACACTTCAGGCCAGCAAATTCGGTTCCCGTAGGCGAAACAAATTTTTGCACTGAGAAGAAAATGACATTCTTGAACAACAAAAGATGTTTTCGACTAAAAAGCTTACTTCCTACCTCTTCCAAATTTTTTCCTCGAAAAAAACCGCTTGAGCGCCGTCCAGAACGACTTCAAAAACGTGCTTGAGCACGGTATTTTGAAAATTCGTAACTAAGGCCAGAAAAAGATTGGGAGGCTGCAAAGCACAGGTTCTGTAGTATAGTGCCCAGACTATTCAAAGAAAAAGTTTCAGCTCTTGAGGAGCAGTAAGCTCGAAAAAATTTAGATGCGACTCTCGCAAATTTAGATGCGATCCTAAAAAGCAAAAACTGGGATTTTTGAGCTTAAAATTTTGTAACTTATCGGGGAAGTTATGAAACGGCCTGAAATTTTTAGGATAGAAAGTAGGAGGATGGCCTCGTATTACAGCAAAATTGCAGCCAACAAGCTTCAATAGCTCCGGAAAAACTTAGATGCGACCCAGATACGACCCCCCTTTTGTCATTTTTTGCCACCATACATAAAATCATAAGAAAATCCGAAGGCCATAAAGTAGGACCAAATTTTGAACAAATGTGGTAGAGCACCTCTTAATTACAAATAAATTGTAAGGACCGTATGAAAAGCATTACAAACAGATTTACAAATTATTGATAATTAGCGTTGGTAGAGATATGCGCTTTTGTCGAGCGTGCGAGTCTTCAGTGAGCCTTCGGAAGCAGGATGTTTACACCAATCGGTACATCCAACATCTTTATCACACATACATGTCTTTAGTAGCATTTGAGCTTCTAAAAATGTTTATTTTTTTTTAATTTTAGTCATGCCAGCAGGGTTCGATCCCCGTTTGCGACAATATTTTGCGGGAGAAATAGTGATCTCCTTTGAAAAAAAGGAACTAAGT